TAAATCCAAAAATTAAAAAAATATATCGGGTGTCAATTAAAAATAAGAAAGTTGGTATCGTCCCTGTATAAATAAATATGTAATTATTATAATATTTTAAATAAATTAAGAAAAATTGTTCCCTACACATTTTAAAATAAGTAACTATATCTTACGTGACCTTAGTGCATCTATTTAAAAGTATGCTTTTCAAAAATGGCGAATGCGCCGGGATACAGGGTATCTGTTACCGAGTTTTTAAACTATTTTTAAATGTCATAATATTATTATGTGTGGGTGTGCGTTATACCAGGTGAGTTTTTTAAAGTGTGACAAGGGGATATTTCAAAAACGGTGTAATTTTTTTTTGTGATATTTTGATAAACTAATAATAACATATTTAAACTTTGGTAGGATTTTTAATAGAAATTTTGTAATTTTTTTTTAATTACAATGATTTATTGGATTATAAGACACTAAAAATAATTTTAATTTACTTATCAAGTGTACGAATTTCATTAAGAAAAAGAGTGAGAAAGCGTATGGAACATTTTAAAGAATTTTTATTTTTATTTTCCTGAAATTTCATTTAGCTCATGTCAAACTCCACAGCTACATAATCGCACAGAATTCGTTTAAGTAGATTTGTTCTGAGCGCCGTAATTTGTCTGTTTTTGCTTCGGGATCCGAATTCAAAGATTATTTGCCCTTTTTGTTGACAAGATTGTTATCGGCTAAACTTTATACCCTTCCTCACTACTCCGTTCACTTTACATGTGAAGGGGTTGCCGGAGTGTGTTCATTTAACGTGCACAAGATCGCGAAACTTTGTTAATATTTTGAGTTTCGATCTCTGAGCCGGCAAGCAGTTTGACAAACTTTGTAAGTAATTATTTAAATTTGTGTAAAGACAAAAACGGCAACCACTTCGTATTTCAGAAACTTACTCAATGTCCTTTATCCTAAAATAAGTGTCTTAAATAATATACAGGGGTTAAAACAGAAGTTGTAATTTTGGTTTCAAAAGAGTCTTTGACAAAAGCGATATTAGATAATGTACTATTGTAATTCCAATTTCAACAATGTTTTTGCTAAGTCGTATTCCACTTTACAGCCAACCTAAAGAAACAAATGCCTATAAAAATGTTAGGGGCGGAAATAAAAACTAAATGTCAATAGTAAAAACAGCAACAAAGTCTTTTCAGATTTTAACAACTACATTGTCTGAGGTTGAAAGTAAATAATATAAATCCGGGACCTTTTTGCGACTTGAAAAGCAAAAAGAAAAGCATACTGTTCCTATAATAAAGAGTTCATAATTTTTCCTTGAAAACGGACGCGATATCCATATTTTATATGCACTTTAATCATGGACTCAGTATTCCGCAGAAACGTAGTAAAAATTTTAACTTCAACACCATCTTGCTGACTTAGTTTGTTTAAACTGTGTTTACGTTTACTTAAAAATAAGAATATTTAAATTTTCAATAATGGTTTTTTTAATATTAATTTTTATATAAACATAACAACTTTACATCAAATAACATAAATTGTTAAATATTTTTTAAAGATGAATTGCTGTTTAATTTAATTTTTTTATTTCGTTTTTGTAAATATCATAATTCATATAATTCTTTCTCGGATTCCTCGTCCCTTTTCTGGATTCTGAAGAAAACTACTAATTCCTTGGTCTGACTTCTGAAATAGTTTGTTGCAAATATCAACAAGTGTGGTATCTCTAGTTTGTGAAGCATTTATAATGTTTAGGCCAGAATATGATGATTTATATAAATATACCTTTTTCAGGTGGTATGTTAAAAGTATTTTCCGAATTTATTAATTTTGTTGCCATTAGTTTTTTATGTTTTCTATTATGCACTGTATTTAAATCACTGTTATTCTGCATGATGTCCTGTGACGAAAAAATCACTATATTACTTACTCTCTAAAAATTAATTAGTTAAAAATGTCATAGCGAAAAAGCAGCCACTAATAATTCTTGTCAACAGCAATTTGTATCCTTGACATTTAGCAGTCAATTCCTATGACATATTATTCGCTGAATCTGAAAATGTCGTCAAACAGTTTTTGAAATCAATTTTTTCTACTCCCACCTTTACAACGCCCTTTATCGTACATGTTTCCATGACACCAAGTGACCTTTTAAATACACATTGACAAGTTGTGGATTTATGGCGCTTTAGTCACGGGCTGAAGTTAGCAACAGGTTTTTAGTCACAGGCTGAAGTTAGTTTTAAGTTAGTTGACAGTTGTCAAATGTCATACAATCGTTAAAATAAAGTGCCTTTCTTGTAAAATAATACTAAATGTAAAAATAATTTTATTATCTCAATACAAAAATACAAAAATATTAAATAGTTTCTCAACGCCAATATTTGAAAAGTTAAACTATAACTTAAATTCGGGCACGGACTGTAAAGTCCTCATAAAACATTTTCTTTACTTTCACCGTGAAAACTGTCAATTTTCAAGAAATACATTTCGATTTATAACCTTTATAATTGTGTTTATAAAATGTAAAAATGTGACATTTGACGGTGACACAGTTTCCCCTGTTGTCTCATAGATGGTGCTCTATACAAATTTTTGATTTAAATCATTTTATGATAAAGTATTTGTCGTAGAAAAAGTATAATTCGTGTATAAAATGGCGTTTATCAAACTTGATACATAATATACTATTACATATAATATGGAATTGACTATATCTCAAAAACTGCTTAACTTTTATAGTTTTTGACGGTCTTTTCGGATTCAGGGGACAATTTTACATAAGAATTGGCTGGTAAATGTCCGGGATACAAATAGAGTAGGATATTGTACATGTCCAATAATGGAAATTTACATTTTTTACCAACCAGTAATTGGACATTGGCCATTTTACTGTTTGTTTTTAGAATTAAAATTAAAATGTATTAAAGTGACAATGTTTAAACCATGAGGAACACATTTATACCACACACTGATCTGTACACTTTTAAGAAATATTTTTTATTGTAATTTAAACACAGCCCTGCTCTTAACAAAAAAAATTCCCTGTGTAGAATTGCTTTTTTACTCATTTTATAGTAAATATAAAAATGTATAAAATTTATAAATTGCCTTGGGCAGTGATAACTTTACAAAATAATGGCAAAATTTAAAATTCATCGTTTACACTTTTCAAACGAAATGGTTGAGTATTCGGCAGATCAAACATTTCATTTAACATTTTGTTGCCTTTACTTATGCAAAATTATTCGTCCAATATTTATTATAAGCCGAATAATTTAACATATATAACGAAATATGGAAGGAAAACAGACAAGACAAAATAATAAATGTATCTGCCCTCCAGCTAATTTATCTCGATTTATTTATAAAATGATATTAAATCCCGTTGTAGAGCTTTTAATTTAAATTTATCCAAACAAAATATTTACGAGCACAGTTGACAAAAGTTCTGTAAAGATCAACACTATAAATTATTCCATAAAACCGATTTAATTAACTTAAGAGAGTGTACTGTTTTAGATTCAGTTTTAAAACATGTTATTTAGAAAGTTCCAACTTTCGGCTTTATAAGTTTTACTATAATTCAACGTTTTCATAAGCCCTTTAACAAAATTACTTACTTATTTTACTATTTTCCTTTATTTAAAAATTATATAAGATACTATTTTTTATTATTTTTGTTTAAAACATAATATTGGACTGGTATTTTATAGATACGAGGTGTGTTCATAAAATAACGGGAATTGTTAAATTTCGCGGGTTCGGAGGGTCCGGTTGTTTTTCTTTATTATGTTCGTATACATGCCCCCGAATTATGATAAAAACTTTAGCTGTTTTCATTGTTTACTTTGTCTGTGGCAGCCGCTAAGGTTAGACGTGTTTTATGAGCTCGGCGATTTTTCGTTCGTTAAAAGAATTTGTATCCAATTTTGCTTAAAAAATGAAATAAATTCTGTGAAATGTTAAGAAAGGCCTATAGTGAGTCTGCTATAAGTAAAACAAGAGTTTACAAGTGGTATGAGAGTTTCCAAGATGGCCGACGTTGAAGATGACGAACTCCCCGAACGTACAAGCGCATTAACAACCGATAAAAACATGGAAAAAGTGGAAGAAATGGTTGTAAACTATCAAAGAAGTATATTGATTGGCTAATCCCATGAAATTTTTTCGAATGTTTTGGGTATGAAACGCGTGGCAGCAAAATTTGTTTTAAAATTGTTTAATTTTGAACAACATTTTTGGCCAAAAACAATACTGTAATGATGCCTCAGCCACCATATTCGCCAGACATGCGTCTGTCTGACTTTTTCCTATTCCCAAAAATAAAGAGAACCTTAAAGGGCCGTCGTTTTGCAAGCATAGATGACATTAAAAGCTCATCGCTGAAAGAACTAAAGGCTATTCCAAAGATCGAGTTTTAGAAGTGTTTCGAGTATTGGAAGAAGAGCTGGCACATGTGCGTAATATCCAATGGGGACTAAAGATTAGTGTTATTGTTTTTAACAATTCAACTGACATTTTGTTATTTATTTTAATATTGTAGATAAGGGGGTTTAGCGTAGCAGGGCAGAATACAGGTCTGTTTAGAAAAAAATATGTTTTTTATATATATTTTATAAATCAAACTTTAAAAAGTATTGGTAAAAAAAATAATCAGAAATTATTCAAGGAATGTTTTTGACCCATAAAAATATTCTTTTGCCACTAATTTTCAAATGACATAGATTTGTGGTTACAAAACTTTTCTCTAATTAATTTCAAGTAAAAAAAAGATACCATACATAGAAGGATACTGTATAATATACAGTAACAGTGTATATATTATATTAATATCTAAATTAGGTTTATTTAGTAGACATCTAATCAACCGGTAATAAATTTAAACTCAACACCATGTATCTCTTAACCGCTTAAAGCCAGTATCTGCAAGTACATTAGTAAACGTCGGGATGACATTTCTTGGACGTAATGTACTGCTTTACATTTATCAAGGCTCATCTTCTTACCGCACGCCCCATACTCACTTAATAAATTACGCAATACGAGGTTTTAAAATTAAAAAATATATACTGACGTTAATTTTTGTCATATTTTTTTTGTTATATAATTTTTTCATAATAAAAATCGATACCATACACTCTTTACCACTGTAGTAGTAGTAGTAGCCCAAGCAGGATTTTAAGTTTAAATAACTATAAATTTACTACTGAGTCAACTTTAAAGTAATTTTTACTGTTAACCAAAACGGTTTTATAACGGTATAGATACGAAATATTACCAAATTTGGGGAATGGTTTATTTCGTTATTTTACCTACATAATAACCTTTTTGATCTACTAAGAGAATAACGTAATAAAAACAATATAAATACCACAAATTTACGTAAAAATAACGCTATAATTACTAACTGTTTGCTTTCTCTTTCCAAAACATTTAAATTCGTAATTTCTTTGTTCTTTTAATATATATTTTACAAAATGGTACTTACAAAGTAATAAAATTAAAAAATATAATTAAATTCTCCAAACTAATAATATTTTGCATTAAAACTCAAACGCACATTATTTTATTGATAAAAATAGGCACGATACGTCTTAAAAATTATATGCCCTCTAAATATTTTACGGTTTAAGAAAAATTATTGCTTGGGTTAAAATTTAACAAAACATAAAACCTACAAAATTTTATAAAATCTTTAAACTAACTAAAACTTTCCTTATTATATTTTAGAAAAATATTAATGAAAAAATATTATATAAATGTTTAGATAAGTAATGGATGCCATCTTAAAAAACTCATTATGGCGACCTGAAAAAAGTTTTTTTTTTCACTTTAAGCTTATTTTTCCTTGTTTAGTCAATATTGATAGTATTTATTACCACTAATAACCTTAAAAAATACCAGGCGAATAGGAATTATTTACGGTTATAAAGTGGTCTTAATATCGTAAAATTATGACTTATGAGTAACATTTACCATTAAGTAAAAATAAATAATTTAAAGTGTTGAAATTAAAGGGTTATTAAAATAGGTAAAAATAACATAAATAACTAAAAAAAGTTTTACTTCAAAGTAAAAAAAAGTAGACTTAAATCATTTTAACGATGTCCCTTTAATTTACATAATTCAAATTCTATTTACTTTATTGTTAACTTTCATAATATATGCCGGTCGGTAAACTTCTAAATTAAATTTGCCTTCAACTGTTTTGAATTTTGATTTGCCATAACCAAAATTTGCATCAAAAATTTAAAAAGAATTAAGTAAATGAAAATTCCTTTATTAATCTGACAATCGCTGGCGGCGGGTAATTTAAATATTAATTTGGTGGACAAGTAAATTACCTTTTAATTTTAAATTGAAACTAGTTTTAGCAAAATTTTTTAGTGTTGGGGTCTCATTCCGGGTTTTTAATATGAAGTAATTACAACACATATGGTAAAACGCAAAAATAAATTTAATTAATCAAAAATATTTATAGGAAGGTACTATTTTTTTTAGTGAGATATAAATATTCGGTTTAAATTTAAAATTTACATTTTATTAAATCTTTTTATACAATATTTAGTTTATTAAAATTGTTTGAATTTGTTTTTATATATCTCAATTTTATATAAATTTAACAACAATAATGGATTACATGAGAGAGTTTTATTTTAATAATAAATTTAATTTCCATTGCATTTATTATAAAAAAAGTAAAAAGCATTGTTATAAATCATTTCATTTATTATAAATTAAATAAAATAGGAAAACAATAAATTTTTTAAACTAATTATCCATTTATTTACATTATTAACCGGCAAAAAAACAGAAATTTGCCACAATTTTAATGTTGATTTTCTTGCAAACCGATAATTTTTTTTGAATTGTAATATTTTTTAAAATTACAATAATTGTACATACATAAAATATTTGTAAAAAAAATCTACTTACTGAGATATTAAACTTCACGGTTGATAGGTTTTTAAATAGCAAATTAATGAACTTTTGAATTATAAAACAGCAACACTCTCATCTGCATATAAATTCTAACTGACCTTCAGGAATCACATGCATCTATAATGTCGTAAACAGAGGTTTTTGCTTATTAAAAATGATTAAAGCGCCATCCGTTGCATTAAATTTAAAGCAAAAACAGATTCACGGAGGATAGAATCAATTTTTGTAACACCTACATAAATGGTTATTTCTTTTAATTTTTAATAATATGTTATATTTCATTTTATTTTTATTAACAGGTTTTTATTATTCAGAAAAGATAGGACTACATTATGATTTTAATTGACATCCGCTGTTATTGTTGAGGCATTATAGGGTGTTAAAAATTGTATATGCCAAAATAAAATTAAAATAAAAATATCTACTATAGCATTGTTACGATGAAATCAACATTAAAATTGTTGCAAAATTTCGTGTGACTGTATTTTGCCGGTAAGTGTATTTAAGTGATTTTTAATTATAATTATTAGCACATAATAATAAATAGATATTTATATTTCGTATTTATTGATATTTATAATGTTTTGGTTATTTAGTACCTACATTGTTTTTTTAATAAATTGTTCATTTGAATATTTTATATTAAATATAAACTTTTACAAAGGAATTTTTATTATAATTATCAATATGAAAAAGCGTTTATAATTCATTTCAGTCTATTTTCCAAAATATTTTGAACAAAATTCCAAGTGACATCAACTTGGTTATTTAAAATAGAATACCCCATATATTTTAATATTTTTAAATTCTACATAAAATTCTGAGTAAAATTACTTTTCCATGTCCCATCTAAAAATATTACCAACAAAAATAGACTTTTTTTTAAATTTAAAAGTAATACAAACAGTATTTGAAAATTAAAAAAAAGCAGTAGGTTGTCAACTATGAAATATAAACGTTGCTCTTTTCGACTATTCTGGTTCTAATATTGGAAATTGTTCAATATCTCTGAAATTATTAAATTTAGGTATAAAAATCTAAAAAAAATTTATTCTCTATTTGATTATGTAATAACATACAGGGTAAAATAAAAAGTTATTAACGTTTCAAGTAAGCCTATTTTGCCATGGTTTTTCTTAAGTAATTTGTTAAAAATATTATATTTTAGAAAATTAATTTACTTTGTTTACTTAGTTTATTATATAAAACCATAGACTTTTTTAACATTAAATTTTAATTAAATAAAACATTTTATTTAAATATAGACAAACCGAAATATAGAGAGATATATTCTTGTAAAAACGTTTATATTTGCTAATAAATGTCAATATTCCTTTAAAACAAACATCATTAAACATCGTCTCACCGTAAGACAATCCGAAATGTCATCGAACAAAACAAAAATTTAAAAATGTCATCATCATTCACTTAAGAATAAAGGTCAAACTCAACCACCAACAGTAACAGATTACGAAAAGTTGGGAGAAAAGTTTTATACGAGTCGTACACACACCGCGCCGGTGTTTACTCGATCTCTCGTCAGCTATCGCAGCTGAAGCTGTGTATCGGCTGCACGCAGCTTCGTGGTAAGCGCGAAACTGGCCGCGATGGTTCCGCGAAGCTTCCATGGAGGCTATCCAAAGGCGCGCCGTCGCGAGTACATTCGATGACGTCTGTCATTAGACGAACTGCGAGCCTTTTTTCGGTTGCCTTCTAGACGTAGTTTTGGGTTAGTCGATTTTTCGCTGCTTTTTAAATAATAATAATCATATTAATTTTCAAAATTAAAAATAACAGAATAAATATTTATTTAATTATTATACAAATATAAAAAGTACACTCAGAGAAAAAATGTTGTAGAATCATTCAAAACGATAATAATTCAAAGGGATTCAAATATGTTTTGGCGTCATTGGTGTTTCCCATTAAATTAATAGGTGTCTAATAATTGTATAATACATATCTTTTTGAAACAACGTTGAGAAAGGCAATGAAATAAAAAGATTTCTTTTTGTATAAATATTTTAAAGAGGGTAAACTTTAAAAGTGTTTAAAACATTGTAAAGCTGTTGGTAAATGAATATAAAACTACAATTTTTTCTATTTGAATCAAATTTTCCCGATTAATTAAATTAATATAATTTCATTTGCTTTTCAGGAAATGATATTTTTTTGAGTGTAGGTATATTACTTCAGAAGAATAAAGAAACTAAACTAACTAGCTCATCATATGAATATATTGAGATGTGAAAATAATTATTTTTTATTTTTTGTTGTTTCGCTGTTAGTCTAGAATATGGTTTTTGAGAAGCCACCTGGTCTAGTAATAACATAAGTGGTTCTGCACTAATGCAAGAATTTTAAGAAATCATATATTTTGAATATTAGAGCTTCACGGAAGATAGCTTCACGGACACCTTAATATTTTTTAAAAATACATAAAATATTTATAAAAAAAATCTACTTACACTTCACGGTGGATAGGTTTTTAAATAGCAAATTAATGAACTTAAACTTTTGAATTATAAAACAGCAACACTCTCATCTGCATATAAATTCTAACTGACCTTCAGGAATCACATGCATCTATAATGTTTTTGCTTATTTAAAATGATTAAAGCGCCATCCGTTATATAAAATTTAAAGGAAAAACAGATTCACGGAGGATAGAATCAATTTTTGTAACACCTACATAAATGGTTATAAAAATTTTCTTTTAATTTTTAATAATATTTTATATTTGATTCGATTGCTTTGAATGTGTTTAATTTACTTGGTGAACTGATATTTTTAGTATGCTTTTACTACCTCAGATATTTGAAAACATATAGGTTAACCTAGAAAGAGTAACAGTCACGGAGGATAGGTTTTAGACTTTTAAAACATTGTAAAAAATAATTAATTGCGGTTAAATATCTGGAACATTGTCTGTGAGTAAAGTTCATGCGGTGAGGTTGATACAATGGCAGACCAGAACATCAAAGAAACTTTGAGGTTTAATTCCCGTTTGGAAAGTAAGTACTTACTTATTATAAATATCTACTTTTTATTCTTCAAAAACTGGCATATATGACAT